ATCCCTCATATGGTTCCAGCTCTTATCTTTGCACACATGATTTTGCTTTGCAAGAACTGTTCCTTTTAAATGAAGTGAATAAATACATTGCTTGCAATGTCTTCACTTTGATTCTCTTTGTATTCTTTATTTCTTCCATTTTTGTGAGCATATTTTTCTCAGTTTTCTCTGTTCTCAGGATTTGAGAGATTATTTGAGTTAAAACACTGCATTATTTTGTCTTGAGTGTAGTATTTCCAAGTGGTTCTGGGTTTTGGTATCAATATTTATCATTTATTGTTTGATAGCTTTGATTTGCTTGTTTGATTATGTTAGTTCCTCTGTCCTAGTCTCGCCTTTGTGTCTTGTGCTCAGCATCTCCTGTGGAAGTCAGTCTTGTTTCCATGTTTGCTTACCTTTCTGTTTCCCCAGTCTTATCCCAATGTAGTTCTGTCAAGTTCATATGTCTTAGTCCTGGTCTCAGTGTTACTTCCTGTTTTTTTAATCCCTCGTCATGTGTGCACTATGTTCACTTTTGTTTCCCTGTCTCTTTAGTTAGACTTTCTTCAGCTGTGTGTCCAGGTGTATCCACTCTAATATCCTCCTGAGCGTTCATACCCTGTATAAAATCAAGCAGCAAGTCATGCAGTCTGTCTTTGCAAACATACGTGACAGAATGGGTTGTTCTAAGAGGTCACTGAACAGAATTCCACCATTGCAAGAAGTCAGCTTGTGAAATTTCTTCACTCCGATATTCCATGATGAACTGTAACTGGTATTAATGCAAAGTGGAAGCAGCCATGGCAACTCCATCACCAAGTGGCAGAAAGTTACAGTACACTGCCTTACAAACTATGGAGTACATGGTGTGCAGAGAAACCGAATGAAAGAGTTGTGGCATCTCCATTCACACCAGTGGACCTTGTTTTTTTACAGCAATGGCGGATTAGCCTTGCAATAATTATGGAAGTGAGCAACATACACTAGCCGTGCCATAGCGATATAACAGCACAGAGATTGAGATGTTCTTTTTAAAGGTAAGATGTTATAGTAAAACTCCATGCTATCAAAACATCCAGATAAAATTAACTTGTGCCATACACCGCATGCCCAATATATTCGTAGGTTATTTTCAAATATATTAGATTTGAGATTTGGGTACTGTAAATACATAACAGACTACTGCTAATAATGGACTGCATTTACCCTCAAAGTGCTTTACAATTCCACTATTCATTCACTCTCACATTCCCACACTGGTGGAGGGAAGCTACAGTTGTAGCCACAGCTGACCGACTACAGCTCATTCGGCCCCATTCTGCCAACCTAGTCCAATATTGTCGGCTCACGCTGGCAGAGCCTTTTATGATGTGGTCGAGCAAAGGTCAGCTCCACAATAATTGACCGTGAAGAAGGAAGCATTTTCTCTGCCTTTTCCTTGTCTCCCTTCAGCTCCCTTTCTACCTGAGATCTCTATTTGCAGTGTTCAATAATCTCAGTGTAAAGCACAGGATGTTGAAATTAAGTCTGCCCTGGGGCAGACTGACAGACGCAAGGCTGCCATATCGCTCCATCGGTCCCTCTAACCATCACCAGTAGGTGGTAGCTTCCCAAGTTCCCAACCCTCTGAACCACGGTCACCACGTCTAGGTTACTGTTAGCAGGACATAACCAGAGATGGGCAGTAATGCGTTACAAGTAATCTGTAATCTGATTACTTTTTTCAAGTAACTTGACCAACACTGGACATAACTGTAGTCACAGTCTGTTGTTTGTATATTCTGTTATTTTAATGCCAATTTACCCGATGTTACAGAATTAGAGATTCAAAGTTCTGGTCGTTTTTTTGTAGTGAAGTTGAACTTATGTTGATGTTTCATATGACAACCCAAATTCTGAACTCCTGCTGACGCAACTCTGACTTAATCAAGAGGTCTGATAGTGTGGAGATGATAGAGGACATGATAGCAGACATGAGGAAGAAGAGGAGACCCTACTGGCCAGTTTTCATCTGGGAGCTTTAAGTGGAGAGGGTGAGCAGCTTTAAATACATGGGCGTCTACATCAGTGAGGACCTCACCCGGACATTTAACAGCACACAGCTGATTACGAGGGCTCAACAGTGACTGTATTTTCTCAGGAGCTGTGGAAGTTCGGCATTCTTCAGCTTCTGCAGCTGCATAGCTGAGAGCTTCTTGACCAGCTACATCATAGTGTGGCATGGCAACGCCAATGCTTTGGACTGCAAATGCCTGCAGAGTGTGGTGAAGACTGATAAAGAGATCATTAGGACTCCACTGCCCTCTCTGCAGTATTTACTATCGCAGAGTTCCGTCTACGGCACATACAGCTGATGTAGCATTCTGAAGTGCACAGTAATCGTAGCTTATTGCAGCTCAGATTCTTTTATTTTATTTATATTGTGTGTATGCTTCTTTAGAACTGTTGTATATAGTTTTTAAATTATGGTTTATTTTTCTTATCATTTTTATATTTTTTTCAGAAGGAAGAATCGCATTGTTCAGGAAAACATGTTTCTTTACTGTGTATGACAATAAAACTAGCTGAGCCGGTCATGTAGATGTAATGTGTAGGTGGCCTAGTACTTTTGTCCATAGTGTATCTTTATGTTATGAAATACTTGCTAATCATTTCCTAATCTACACCTAGTAACAGTGCCCTTTAACAGCTAGCCTGCTGGCTTAATCTCCTCCTTAAATCCAACCAAGGGTAGTGGCTTTGGCCGTAGTAACTCAAGTCAGTGCTTGTGATTCCACCAGAATCCCTGCAGCACATTTCAGAAAAGTCCCAGGAGGAGAAGTTGTGTTGCAAAAAGTACATGTCCATTCTCCTTTTGAACAAAATTTGCCTCATACTGCATGGAGCAGATGAGGAGGGCAGGAAGTCAGACAGAGGAGCATTTTGAATTTTGAAAACAAAAGACTTGAAGCTGTGCAAAAAGACACAATAAAACTGTGCGCAGAGACAAACACCCAGTGCATTCCCAGTCTTATTCACCAGCAGCACAAACTTGCCACTGTCATTCTTTGCTCCTTTACCGCACTGCCAACCTGTTTTGGTAGCAGTCTGTCTGGGAAGCTGCCTTCAGTCGACCCTTGGCTCTCTCTCTGTGCCATCCGCACCTCAAAGACTTTTACAAAAAGCCTTTAAAACCACCTCCTCACCCCGTGCTCTGCTTCTGGCTGCTTTTTATTTTTTTAAAAGCTCTAAAGCTTGGCATAAAACCAACGGCAACCATCTTTGTTGTCTTACATCTGGCCATTAAAATCAACGGTAAAGCTTATTGCCAAGTAATAGCAGTGGTATTCTTTCTTCCCAATGGAAGCTGATTCAGTCCCTGGATTCAAAGTAGAGATTTGTCTAAATCGAGATTTTGTATGGACAGCATTTTTTTTGCAGTTCCTACAAATCAAATTTCATGCACACTTGATGGTCTGGGCTTACCACATCACTAACAGTCTTGTGCATGCCACTGAAACTGACTACTCTTGCTGTGGGGAAACAACAAGAGTTTTTCCGGTGCATTTGTGTCTCTCTCATGCAGACACACACACACTCACCAAAAAACGAAAGAAAGAGCAGAGTGCAGATAAACAGTGAGATAAAAGTGAATATACACTGTTGTATTTGTGCGTGCGCATGCATGCATTAAGAGACTGTGTACCCATAGCCCGGTTTGAGCAAGATTTAAAAAGAGATTTTGGGAAAATGATTTGCAGGTTCAGGCAGTGAGTGTCCATTACACACAGGCATTGAACTCAGCAAATGTATTGATTGCCAAAATATTAGCTAATGAAGCTCAGTCGGCCCCATTCTGCCAACCTAGTCCAATATTGTCGGCTCATGCCGGCAGAGCCTTTTATGATGTGGTTGGTCGAGCAAAGGTCAGCTCACACAATAATTGACCGTGAAGAAGGAAGCATTTTCTCTGCCTTTTCCTTGTCTCCCTTCAGCTCCCTTTCTACCTGAGATCTCTATTTGCACTGTTGAATAATCTCAGTGTGAAGCACAGGATGTCGAAATT